AAAAAATAAAAAGTTAAAAAAAAAAAAAGAAATGTTTTAGGGCACCTGGGTGGCTCAATCAGTTAAACATCGACTCTTGATTTCAGTTCAGGTCTTAATCTCAAGGATGTGAGTTCAGGTCCTGCACTGGGCTTTGTACTGGGTGTGAAGCCTACTTAAAATGTGTGTGTGTGTATATATATGTATACAGATACATATGTGTGTATAATATATATATACATACATATATATATATTATACACACACATACAGCTGTATACAGATACAGATGTATCTGTACACACACACACACACACACACACACACACACGCACACAAAAGATTTTGGTAGCAGTTGGAAGAAGTAGGGAAGGAGGGATTTCCAGAAAAGTGAAGAGAAGTTGGCCTGTGGGGAATCCACATATGGCTAGAGCCTACAGGCTTAGTGGGACAGTGAGATGATACAGATACAAATCAGATAATAAGGGCCTTTATGGTACCCTAAAGAATGGGGTCATTGTTCCTCATTTCCTGAATGGCAGTGATAAGCCCTTCAAATACTGTGTCTGGAGTGAGGAGGGGTCACAGTTGAGTCAGAAATAAAATTCTGGGGGCACCTGGCTGGCTCAGTTGGTGGAGCATCTGACTCTTGATGCTCAGGGTTTGAGCATCATTTGAGTTTGAGCCCCATGCCCCACAGTTGGGTAATCTCTACAGTTGGGTGTAGAGATTACTTAAGAAAAGAAAAAGATAATTCTGGAGGTAGTATGGACTACAGACCTGTGAATGTCAGGGGGATGGGTAAAGGAAGTTACTAGTAGTTACTGAGGTAAAAACATAGGAGAGGACTTCAAAGTCCTTCGCATGGTAGAAGAGGGAAGGTATTACAAAGAGTAGCCATGGATTTTGATTAGTGAGTGACAAAACTTTAACACCTATGTTTTTGCAGTAAGTGGCTGAATAGGGTCCTGTGGTAGATTCTACTGGCAGAGATCTGCTATTCTGGTATTTTGTTCCACTGTATGATATGGTACAACATATGGTAGGAAGTTATCTGAGTCATGAACTTCATTCTGTTGGCTTCTAACCTCTATAGACAGTGTTGAACTCCCAACGTGAGACTTATCTGTTTACTTTCAATACAGGAAGAAACCCATAAGCTTGTATGTATAAATACATCAGGCCAGGTCCGACAGGCATTTTGATGCAGTCTTAAACAGTAAAATTGAGTTCATAAGATCAACCTCACTATATTGAGTAAACTGCCTCATAAACACTGATCTGAGTATAATTACTGCTTTTATATACTAAGTAGAGGTTTTATCTTAACTTTGTTAATCGTATACATCTGTTTTGCAAAAGCAAATGCCTTTCCTTAAATGAATTTGTATGAGAGAAATGTGTCTGTCATTCCTGGCACCACTGCACTGTTTACCCCTAAAGAGTGGAAAATGGGGGAAGATGTGTGTATGTGTGAATGAATAGTGCTGAATGAACAGGTTTAGAAAGGCTTGTACATACAAAGGACTTTTGTTCTCCTTTGCTCTACAAGAGCTGACATAATTATTCTTTCTTCAGCCACAACAATCCGGAATTATGCTTCGTGGGTGCTTGGTCTCTTTGAAAAACCGCCACTACTAAGTAGGGGTGATTCATGATATGTTATCTGATGGTCTGGCAACCAGTCAGAACAGATGCCTGCTCTTGTAGTGAAGGAGGGTGCTGGAGGCCCCACTGTTCTGGTCATTGCCCTTTCACTTGTTGAATCCTGAGGGGAGAAAGTGGGGGGCCATTAGCTACCAACTAGCATGGAAGAAATGCCATATTTTAACACTTGGTGTGGCCACTTGGCTGTGTACTGGCTGAATGTTGGGACCAGCTGCAGGAGACAGAGTGACTACTGTATTCTCTTTCCAGGTTTCAGAAATGGAAGTCTGTATTTTCCATATTCAGTGGTACTCAGTGAGAATCCTGGCTTCCTTGTTCCTCAGTCACCATTGCCCACTACACTTAACCGACGACCTACGTTTTATAACACAGCACATTTCCAGCACTGTAGTGGCTATGGAAAGAAAATGAAAACGAGAGAGACTCAGACTGAACCTCAGCAGGCTGAGAACATGACTCAGAAACAAGGCACCCACTCAGAAGGTGATATGGTGACCAGTATCCCTACTTCTAATATTGACACAGAAATGGATGACATTCCTGAAGAAACAGATGGCGTTTTGTCTTCTGTTGCCCAAAAGAGGGAGCTACACAGTAAGAGCCCTTCTAATAACAGCCTGTATAGGACATCACCTCGAGGAAGCTATGCATCTGAGAAAGAGAAAATGAGGCTAGAACAGAGCAAAGGATCCCTTGTAACGCAGTTCTGGAAGACTTTGAAGGAAACTATGCGTTTATATGACCTAGCTTATGGTAAAGCCATGCCAGAGAAGATGGTGCAGGACAATAGGATTTCACAGAGTTCTTGGGAAAGTAGAACTTTCCCTCATGAGGGTACAGAGGGCATTACATGTAAAGATGAAGAAAGCACTGTCTGGATGGAGCAGTGTCATGATGTAAGACATGATGATGTGGTAAAGTTGGGCTCCATCATGAATATGAACTTGGGTAAAGAAAAAAGCTATGCAGCTGCTCCCCAATTCCTATCTTCTCCAGATGAAGCAAAAGACAGAGATAGAATCCAGGATACCCTGAACTCAAATCTGTGCCTATCTTCTGGAGATGGCAATAAGCTCCAGCAGGAAAGGCCGGTCTGCCCCAGCAATAAAGCCATTGAGGACCTGAGCCTACAGTGCAATCCCAGAGTCCCCTTCGCATTGAGGAAAGCATGCTAGACAATGGTAGTGGGGGCCATGGCTTCCCTGTGAACATGAATGAAGTTGAAGTGATACAGAGCAACAGCTACCCTGAGAATTACGTCCCTCCTCCTATCTCGCTGGCCAAGTTCAACCAGGCTGATGGAGGCATTCAGTGTGATATGAGCCAGTGGCAGGATGCAGAGCTGGAGCAATCCCCTGAGCAAATGCTTTCCAAAGATGAGTCATGACTAGACTACAAAACTAAGGGACCACAGAGAAAGTCAATCAGGAATAGGAAATTGAACACAAATGAAGAAAAAATGACCATAAATGATGAGATTGAGGAGGAGTATCATGAGAACTTCAAAAAGTGTGCCAAAATTAAAAAGACTGTGAAAGGCAGAAAGCAGAAAACCCTGAGCAACTTCTCAAGTGGTAACATAGTATATTTGTTGAAGAAAATGCTGCCTTGAACACTGTTCTTCCCGAGGATTCAGAAGACTGTGAGTTGGAAGAGGAAGTTGAAGGTGAAATGTATGAGGTAGAATGCCTCTTTGAAGAAGTTAGTCCACCAGACCCTGTGAATTCCTCAAAAAGAAGGATTTATTAAAAAAAAAAAAATTTAAAAAAAAAAGGGGCACCTGGGTGGCGCAGTCGGTTAAGCGTCCGACTTCAGCCAGGTCACCATCTCGCGGTCTGTGAGTTCGAGCCCCGCGTCGGGCTCTGGGCTGATGGCTCAGAGCCTGGACCCTGTTTCCGATTCTGTGTCTCCCTCTCTCTCTGCCCCTCCCCCGTTCATGCTCTCTCTCTGTCCCAAAAATAAATAAAAAACGTTGAAAAAAAATTAAAAAAAAAAGAAGGATTTATTGCAATGCCAGCAGGATAATCAGGATGCCACCTGAGTGGTCTCTCCCTCCTCAACTTATCATCTGGCCCACCAGAAATAAGGACAGGCTAAAGCATGTTGAATATGAGAGCATCCCTATGGTAAATGAAGTGACAGGACAGGATGGCAGGATCCAAAGGGAACGTATGATGACCATGCAGAAGGGACTGGAGTCTAAGAGAGCCTCTCACAAATTATGGGAATGTAAGTGACTAATGGACTGATCCTATTTGGTTGTCTGTGGTGGTTCCATACCGCATCCTGGAGGCAAAGGCAGCCGTACATCAATAGTATTTCTCCATTTTGAAAGTATGTTCTTAAACAATTATAGATGCCCATGTGTGCAGGATTGGCAGAGATCTCAAGTCTGAGGTCCTGCATTCCAGGCAATTGTAATGTAATTTGAAATAAAGAGCTGTAGCAGATGATGGAGAGCTGGTTGGTCTTAAAGGACAGTGGGGTTGAGAGAGAAAAGGAGAGATGGACTTTGAGGTAGGTGGTTGCTGAGAATGGGCAGTCCATGTGGAGGCAGTGAATTGTGATACAAATTTGGGGACTGTGGTTTGAAGTGGGAATGGAGACAGCAGCATGAGCTTATCAAATGGGCAGCCAGGGCAGGTCAAGTGTGTTTCAGGGATTGAGCTTGAGACCAGCCGGCCAGAGGGGAGACCTATGTTGAGTTGAGAAGGTAGGTCTAAGCAGAATGGGCTAAAGTAGTAGATATTTTCCTTTCTAGATGTTTTTCCTCTAGGCAATAAGGAGGTGCCAAAGCAAATTGAATAAAGGACAGGAAGAAGTATGCTCTAGGAATCGTCAGCTGGCAGTACAGTGTAGGAGGAATTTGAACTCTGCCTATATGGCTAAAACCCCTGTATAAAGTCAGTTTAAGTGAACTTTGGATATAAAATGATGAGGGTCTTAACTCTCATGGGAGTAAAAGTTTTACATCTCAGAGGATTCATTAATGAAATTGACTCCTTAAGAATAGAAGGCTGGGTTTTGAACTTGAGTACCTAGAAAAAATGGTAACATCTGTGGTAAAGTAAACTTGTGAAGGGAATTTGTTTTGCTTTATGTGTGGCTGTCAGTGGGAGGACTGGACCAGCAGGTCATGCACACCTGGTTGAAGCTGGAGTTTGGATCACAGTATTTTTAGGGAGGGGGCTCAAACGAGTGGGAAGAGTCCAAAGTAGAGCCTGGGGGATGATTGTATCTGGGGTGCAAAAGTGAAATGAAGCAGGTAAGGGTTGAATGGGATGCATAAGGACCCGCAGGAAATTTAATTAAGCTCAGTCTTAGCTCCTAAACCAGAACACTGGCCATCTTACCTTTAGTCTTCTTAAAGTCTCATTTGCCTCTGCTGTCATTTCTCATCAGTGTGTAGGAATCCATTTTTTCCATCCTATCACAGCCCTGTGAAGAAGATAACCTCAATTTACTCTTGGTTATGCAGTGAAGGTGGTAATTTTCAGGGTGAACCTCTAGATTATGTCTGTTACATTTTTTTTATTGCTAAGGACTGTAGAATGATATAGAATAGGATCTTGAAAAATAGGTTTTCTTGAAAGATGTATTGTTTATTTATTTATTTATTTATTTATTTATTTATTGCCATTGTTTTTTTTAAGCAATTTGGGTTATTTGCTGTATGAATCACTTCTTCCCTCAGGTAACTGTGAGAGATGGAAAAGCGAGGTACTTTACAAAGTTTCAGATTCGAGGCAGATGCTGTAAAGTTTAGGAAACAGCCAGCAGGTATAGAGTTGGTATCTATCCGGTGTCCAGTTTTCAATGTCATGATTAGCTTTTAGGGCTTTGTTTGGGGTTTCCTACTCAGTGCATGTTCTGTCCTCTAAAACTAACACTGCTTGTGGGCAGTGAAAAATGGCAGCATTCTAACTGGGTAGTAGACCTGTATCTATATAGATCCTTGCTCACAAGCAGATTGGAGCCTAAGCCTTTTCATTCTGTGGAGTGTCATTTTTATGTCAATTTTCCACATTTAGTTCACCAGTGCTGTTATGGTAGTGTGTTGTATGTTATATGGGATTTTGTAAGTTATCCTGCTGGTTCAAAGTGTCCCAGGTTAGAACTAGTAGAGCTGGGCACTGGAAGTTCAGGATCTCCCTTAAAAGTTCAGGATCTCCCTTAAAGGTCTAGTAGTTTGACAGGCTTCTCTTCACACTGGGTCTTGGCATTGAGTATCCCTGCCACACCTTTAACCCCTAGGCCTGGGGTGTCAGGGAGAAAGTGCTTATTGGCTTTTTAAATGGGCCATTCCTGCCTTGCAGTGGTCATAAAGTAAAGATTGATAATCATGCTCCAGCAAAATGTTAAGACCTTTAACTTTTTCCTAAAGATGAAAATTAAAGATATTAGTAATGATTCTTTGTATAAGAGATCTTGAGTTTTACAGCTGATTTAAGGAACTGTATTATTCTTTTACAGGAAACAAATACTGAGTTCCAGCTCCATAAAAGAACTAAATATTGCATCATTATGGTGGTTTAGAACATGTGATTATCCATTGATTTAATCTGATAAAGCTGTTACACCAACAAACAAGAAAATATGACATTGTAAAGCCTTTGCAATTAAAAGATATAAAACAGCAAATAAATTGAATTGTGTATGTGTGTGCTTCTCAAACATTTTGTTCCCGTCTCAAAATGGCCACGTCACTGGTAACACCAACAGAGTTGGGTCATTCCTGAATACTTCTGCCATGTCTATTACTGTCTTATAATCTCAGGGACCTTTAAATATGGGGAAAAGGATGGCAGAGTTGAGGACAGACTAAATAGATGGATTCCGCATGAACAGGAACTACCCTGAAGAGAGAGACGGTACCTTTCTCATTTTTTATAAATGGAAACCAGGCATATAGTAGGTCCACTGATGGCTATGTCCCATGGTGGTTTGTAGTATGTTACTTACTTCCAGTGTATACTTGTAGAAACAAGGGAAACTTTAGGCAAACAAGAGTTCCTTATACTCAGAACCTATGACCTAGATGGTAAATTTGTGGAACCAGTCTTCTCCCAATAAAAGATACAGGTTAAGTCTGTGGCTAGGTGCCAAAATGTTTATATGTGGATGAAGGCTGTCCTAAGAGTAATTATAAGATATAGGTATTTGGCAGATATGGAGAGGCTAGGGTAACCTCTTGGAAGGGCTCTCTGAGTGATCGTATCAACAATATTTTGATACATATGGATGGATCCACTCAATATTGCCTCTAAGTTGTCCAGTGATTTTAACTATATATATATATATATATATATATATATTTGACTATATTTTTATATTTTTAACTCCATATGGTAACAAAGTATCTCTCAAGATGGATTAAGGAGATAGTAAAAAGTGATGGCACTGCATGTTTTCAGATGAGATGCAAAAAGGCAAGCAAAAGATGATACGGTTTCTAAAGCTGGTCTTATGAGAAGATCTGACTTATTTCCTGCCTAACCCCTATTTAAAAGATGGAGTAGATATTCTAGGAGAATATCTGTGACCCCTATCCCCACCCGTGGCTGGATTATGTGACTCTCCTATGTGTCTTCTTTTTTTTTTTTTTTTAATTTTTTTTTTCAATGTTTATTTATTTTTGGGACAGAGAGAGACAGAGCATGAACGGGAGAGGGGCAGAGAGAGAGGGAGACACAGAATCGGAAACAGGCTCCAGGCTCTGAGCCATCAGCCCAGAGCCTGACGCGGGGCTCGAACTCATGGACCGCGAGATCGTGACCTGGCTGAAGTCGGACGCTTAACCGACTGCGCCACCCAGGCGCCCCCCCCCATGTGTCTTCTAGTAACACCTGCATTTTCACTTTCATAGCCCATTATGTGACATATCACAGGACAGTTACAATGTTTTCAACCTTGAGACCATGTATTCCTTAGGGCTATAGATTATTGTCTCCAGTAGATTATCTCCATGGAATAGTTAGTATAGACCCTGGAACATCATATGCACTCAAGTATTTGTGAATGAATGGCTTAGTGTCAATTTAAATGAACAGTTTTGTCCTTGGCACTGTTCCCACCAACATTCCAAGCCCAGAACATAACTGAAATGGGAAGGCTGGAATAACTGAACAATAAGGAACACTTGAGTCCAGATAATACAACTTCTGAGCTTATTTGGGAACTACAGGAAGGCATTCCACTACTCTAACTCCCTACCAACAGTTCTGATTCATTCAAATTCCAACAGTCTGATTCATTCACCTATAAATCCCCATGAGAAGATTAAAGAGTGTGGTTTTTCATTAATGTGTTAATAGGAGTTGAATCTGATTGCTTTTTTGACACCTGTGAAATAGGAGTTTGAAGTGTGGGTAAACTAATTCAAGGCATTTAAATGGACCATAACTGGGGCTCTCTGGCTAGCAGGAAGATATTGGACCCTAGAAGTTAGGAAAGATGGTAATGCCGGTATATGGAAGAGGAAACAGAAAAAGAGGACAACTCCAATGAACACTTCCCTGCTTTGTAATCCTTCCCAAAGTCTTTATTCTAGAGGCCAGATGAGAAGTCAAGCATAGGTTTGGAAAATGGAGTCCAAAATGAAGGGTACATCCTGATACCACCTTCTGTTTCATTTTCCCAAGCAGTTATTATACCCCATGGCACATTGAGTTCCTTAGGGTCAGACTCTGACATGAAGATTTGTGTGCAGGGAGTGCTTTAATGGAGAGTGCTTTGGGGAGTAAAATCTCTGAAGGGGCAAAGAAAGGATGATTAAGCATAGGGAAGAAGTTTGGATATGATGCAGCAACAACAAAGACCTCAGCCAATCCAATTGGGAGCTCCTGAGCTGCAATGATCCTGCAGAATTTTCTCAACTGGGGTAAGAGGACACCCCTATACCCGTGCACTGACCAGTCACTGATACAGGATGACCCTTAGAAAGGAAGCATGACCTTGGGTACTGTGGCTTTCTTCAAGAAAGATCAAATCCCTGGATAGGGGAAGTCAGTTGTAAGTTGTCAGTTGTTAGGCATCCCAGCAGGTGGGAGGGTAAATATTTTAGTCCAAAAGTCAGCAGTGGGAACTAGGCAGATACCAGTAGCACAACAAAGCATCCACTACAACTTCCAAATCAGGTTCCAACTGGAGCATGTAACCGTACTTCTAATAAATTCACATTCTGTTAGAAGTCTAGGGGCACCTGGGTGGCTCAGTCGGTTGAGCATCTGACCAGCTCGGGTCATGATCTCACGGCTCAGAAGTTTGAACATTGGGCTCTGTACTGGCAGTGTGGAGACTGCTGGGAATTCTCTCTCTCTCCTCTCTGACCCTCCCCAACTTGTGCTTTCTCTCTCTCAAAAGAAATAAACTTAAAAGAAGTTGAATCTAGAGGTGCACCTGGGTGGCTCAGTCAGTTTAGTGTCTGACTCTTGATTTTGGCTTAGGTTATGATCCCATGGTCATGAGATTGAGCCCCATGTTGGGTTCTATGCTCAGCATGTAGCCTTCTTGACATTCTCTCTCTCTCTCTCTCTCTCTCTCTCTCTCTCTCTCTCTCTGCCCCTGCCCTGCTTGCACACGAATGTGCACATGCAACTCTCTCTCAAAATAAATAAAGTTGAGACTAGAACATGAAACAAGATGGTCTCTGCCCAAAAGAAGCTTCCAGACATGTCACTAATTTCAACAAACGTAGTGGCTTAAAACAATAACCGTTGACTTCCGGTTTCTGGACTAGCATATGAGGAGATAAGAAGTCTTTTTATTTAGATTCAAGTTAGTTAATATATAGGATAGTATTGGTTTCAGGAGTAGAAGGGAGTCTTCGCTCTGTCCTGAGAAGTAAGAAGAACTAAAAAATTACCAAATCTCCCTAAATTCATCAAAGAATGGAGGTCATGACAAAACCACTGATCCAAAAATTGGAGAGAGAGGCAGACATGGAAAATCACAACTTCCCATGGCAGAAGCCTCTGTGGGAGATAGGTGCGCTAGGGTAGGATATCGAATGTAACAAGTGGACCATTCTGGTGTTGATGTGAGAGGTGGGGTTGTGGGTATGTGAGGACACAGAATATATGGGTAATCTCTGTAGTTTCTGCTCACTTCCATTGTGAACCTAAAATGGCTCTGAAAAAAATAAGTCTGAATTTTTTAAAAAATGAAAACTAAAAGCATCACCCATTTATCATCTCATAGGTCTGTAGGTCAGAAATCTGGGTAGAATAGATTCTCAGCTTAGCACTTTGTAACGCCAAAATGAGGTGTGGGCAGGGCTAGGCTATTACCTGAAGGCTGTGGAGAAGAATATGTGCCCAAGGTCATTTTGACTATTAGCAGAAGTGAGTTCCCTGAAAGTACTGTAGGACTGAGGTGACCATTTCCTTGCTGGCTGTTGACTACGATTGCTTTTACCTCTTGGAAGCTGCCCCATTTCCTTGCTATATGGCCCCTTCCTTTTTTTTAACTTTTTTTTTTTTTTAAGATTTTAAATAATCTCTACACCCAATGTGGGGTTTCAGTTTACAACCCCAAGATCAAGAGTTGCATGCTTTACTGACTGAGCCAGCCAGATGCCTGGACCCCTTCATTTTAAAATAAATCCACCAACAGCACATCATGTCTTTCTCAAACTCAGAATGTGACTTCCTCTTTGCTACCTGTCAGAAAATTTAAAAACTTCTGGTTTTAAAAACACCATGTGATTTGGTTCTGACCATCCACATAGTTACAAAAAGATCAATTGTGTATTATAATCTAATCATGGGAATAAAATCCATTATAGTAACAAGTTCTACAGATTTGGGCAAAAAATCTTGGAGGTTACTTTATAATTCTGCCTACCACAACCATGATGACAGGTTGATATATACCTTGGTAGAAGGAGTTCTGGTGACTTCTCTTGATTTTCTAAATAGGACTGGAGAATACTGAGTCTGAAGGGAGAGATTTCAGGATGAAGAACTTTTGATTGATGAGCTTTATGGGCTCAGCGGTCTGGGAACTGGAACAGAGGAGGAAGAGGTTAGTTTGAGGTTCTTCTGGGTAAACCGGGCAAAAAGACAGGTCAAGGGATATGACAGACTGAAGGAAAGGACCACAGAATCTAGGCCAGAAACAGAAGACAGAGAAACCTGGAGTGAGAGAGGAGGAATTAACTTGCAAAGGCTGCAGTGGATGGCAAGATTCCAGTTAAAGCAGGAAGTGGAAGAAGACTTCAAGAAGAGGTTTAACATTTGGAGCAGTGGTTCTCCAAGTCTGGCCCCCAAACCAATAGCGTCAGCATCCTTTGGGCATTTGTCAGAATTGCAAACTCTCCAGGCCACTCCAGACCTAGTAAATCAGAAATTCTAAAACTCTAGGAACAGGACAGAGGAATCTATTTCAACAGCCACTCCAGGTGATTTTGCTGCTCCGTAGTTTAAGAATCATCGATATTATTCTCCCATATTGTAACAGAATATGTTTATCAGGAATGGGTTTCCAGCAGGAGAAAGAAAATTCCTGGAAGGAGAATTTTCCCATTGCATGCTCAGCTAGGATGCCTAGGGTAAATGTAAGACACGGCTGAATGAACTGGCCTTACAGTTTTCAGAAATAACAAATCCTGGTCATTCTAATCTGGGCCAATTGTGTTACTGAGATAAACTTTCTAAGACCAAGGCTAGAAACAGTTACTGAAGGGAGCTAGAGAAGGAGCCAGACTGGACTGCATCAGCCACTCTTTAGAGAGGGGAAACCTCAGGGAAAGTGGCAAAAAGTAGGAATAATGTGTTCCAGGGACCCTGAATGATGAGAGCAACAACAGATGCTAGTGGAGAGGGAGGGACACCTGCTTATGACCAAGATCTGGCTCCACTTTGGCTCAGCAAAGAACAGACACTCTCCCCTAGCTGCAGGCACCACCCCAACCAGCTGAGCTGCCTCAGCTGCAGCTGTTCATAGGTGGGCTGTGCTTAGCCAACAGGATGAGGATGTATTTGAGGATGTGGGTAGCTGACCCAGTACAGTAATCTGGATCACCTTATAATTTTTCTGAATCTACTACTCTAGAAATAATAATAGTTGTGGGAAAATAGCTGTAAGAACTAAGCAAGTTAAATACATAATTTTTCAATGTTATTACAGGGTATCCCACCCCTCCAAAAAACCCTCAAGCAATCATGCCAGGGTTTATGAGCATAGGTCTTTTGAGTGCAGCAAAGCCCAACATGCTTTATACTGTTGAGTTAAAAAATGAAAAAATGGGAGCACCTGGTGGGCTCAGTCGGTTAAGAATCTGACTCTTGGTTTTTGGCTCTGGTCATGATCTCATGATTCATGAGTTAGAGGCCTGAGTGGGGCTCTTCACTGAGAGTGCAGAGGCTGCTTGGGATTCTCTGTCTCCTCCTCTCTGTGCCCCTCCCCTGCTCCTGTTCTCTCTCTCTCTCAAACATTTTTTCAAAAATGAAAAATTGGTGCCGACAAATGTTCATACCATGCTAAAAAGAGAAAAAACTTTTTCTATGATACATAAATATTTCCTGATGACTTCACAATAAATTGGTAACATTAGACACTGGGGAAGGGAACTGAGTGGCTGGGGGAGAAAAGGAAGAATTGTCATGATTAAAAACCTTATGTACCTTTTAAATTTGGAGCACATGCATGCATTATTAAGAAATAAAAAATTACTACACTTAATAAATAATGAGCTTTTATTATCCTCGACAACAGAGAAAAGCCATGCCTGGAGTCTCTGGGAATTCTGGGAACGCTCCCAGGGGGAGGGGAAGGCTGCAAGTAGCACCTGGAGCTTCCTCAGAGACTCATTCCCTCAGTCTCACCCTACTGGCAGAGGCAGCTGGAAGGAATCACAAACTGCAAGGATCAGTGGGAGGAAGACAATGAACAACGCTTTCCTGCCTGAAATCAGCCGCTGTCCAGAGCCAGCACCAGGGAAGACACAACTCACCCTCCGGGGGTCACATCTTCGCTGGAAGGCAGGTGAGAATTCACACGCGTGACACCGAATGCCCTGCTCTCTTGGGGTCTCCAAGTCCTCCCCGATTCCACACCCTCTGGTCTGGGGCCACAGTGTCTGAGTTTTGAGAGGAGAACATGGAATAGGTCAAGTTTTAGTCTGAGTCTGAACTCTCATTCGACTTGGAAGACTTATGCTTTTCTTTTTTCTTCTTCTTCTTTTCTTTTTTCCTTTTCTTATGCTTTTCTTTCTTCTTCTTTTTCTTGTGTTTCTCTTTACATTCTGAGGAGCTGGAGCTGCTCCCATCTTCATCGGAGGTGGAATCCTCCAGTAACTGTTTTAACTGCTGTATCCTAAACAGAAGTTTGACCAAAGAACCATATTTTTAAAAAATTGTAGATAAAAATGATGTGAGAGCAGCAGTGAGGGTAAAAAATGTCATGAATAACCACCTTGAGAAAGATGGTACTTATTTTTATTTGTGCATGTCTTCCCCGTTCTTGTCCACGTCCATGCCTGTTTGACAGGACTGTAACCAGTATATGAGCCATTCTGTGTTCTTTCCATTGTCCTAAATATTTCTGCATGTTTCTCGAGTCCTTACCACAGAACTTCTAACAGATGTCTACTTTCCTTACTCACCGCCCCCAACTGCTCAAGTAATCTACCTCCTCAAAACAATTATTACTCAGCGTCACCAGTTTTGGGAAAAACAAACTCTCCCGTTTCTTCACCCTATCTTTGTTCATGTCTAAGGATCATTTTTCACAATAGCTCAGACCCTTAAAGACACTGGAGAAGATAAACTAAGCTATGGTTGGTTGCCAACATCAACTATCAGTGGTATGAGCAGGCTGGGCCAAACACACTGCTTTAAGCCAACCCAGATAGAACAAGGCTGGCCTGCTCATTCCCCACATACTGGCCTTTCCAGTGATTACTCCTGCCTTCCACACATTTCACAACTAAATTAAAGTACCATATTTACCAAACCACTCATCTAATACTGGAATGGATGTTTCCAACTTTATATAAGAGGGTATTGTTATCACCAGGACCACCTCACCTTACATACTTTTCATGTCTTTTATTCTCTCGTATGATGTCATACATGGGATCTTCATGTGCCTTGAGGGTTAGAGAAGGGTAAGGTTGGATTAGGGCTTCATGGACTGTTTAGTTAAATTAAAATTAAATCTCTATTTCACTGAAACCAGGTTTTTTTCCTGTTTGGTGTAACATTTAATATGTTCTAAGGGCACCTGGGTGGCTCAGTCAGTTGAGCATCCAATTCGATTTCGGCTCAGGTCATGGTCCAGAGATCATGGGATCGAGCCTCAAGCTGGGCTCTGTGCTGAGCACTGAGCATGGAGGCTACTTGGGGTTCTCTCTCTCACCCTTTGCCCCTCTCCCTGCTTGCACATTCTCTCTAAAATAAAAATGAAAAAAAAAGTTCTAATCCTTAAAGGTTACTGTCACTGCAAACCTATTGAGGCTTTTAAAAAAAAATTTTTTTAAACGTTTATTTATTATTGACAAACAGAGAGAGACAGAGCAAATAGGGGAAGGGCAGAGGGAGAGGGAGACACAGAATCTGAAGCAGGTTCCAGGCTCTGGGCTGTCAGCACACAGCCTGACGCAGGGCTCGAACTCACAAATCGCGAGATCAGGACCTGAGCCAAAGTCTGATGCTTAATTGACTGAGCCACCCAGGCGCCCCCCTATTGAGGCTTTAACAAAGAATTTTCTAATTAGAAAATACAGATTGTAATTTAAATATCCTTACAAGAATATAAACCATCGCAGAATCATGTAATACTACTCAAGGTAGAAATATTGAGGTAATTTGCTTTGTTCTGTTTGGAAAGGTGATTAAGAAATGGTATTGGGGCGCCTGGGTGGTGCAGTCGGTTAAGCGTCCGACTTCAGCCAGGTCACGATCTCGCGGTCCATGAGTTCGAGCCCCGCGTCAGGCTCTGGGCTGATGGCTCAGAGCCTGGAGCCTGTTTCCGATTCTGTGTCTCCCTCTCTCTCTGCCCCTCCCCCGTTCATGCTCTGTCTCTCTCTGTCCCCAAAATAAATAAACGTTGAAAAAAAAATTAAAAAAAAAAAAAAAAGAAATGGTATTAAGAAAAGCAAGTGAATTACAAAATGATACATAAGAATGGAACATTTATAGGTACACAAAAATATATGTTAAGTACCTCAAACAAAGTCTGCAAGTATACCAGAAGTACAGATAATTTTTTTTTAATGTTTATTTATTTTAGAGACAGAGAGACAGAGCACAAGTGGGGGAAGGGCAGAGAGAGCCGGAGACAGAATCTGAAGCAGGCTCTGAGCTGTCAGCACAGAACCCGGCGTAGGACTCAAACCCACGAACCATGAAATCATGACCTGACTTAGACACTTAACCGACTGAGCCACCCAGGTGCCCCAGAAGTCCAGATAATTTAAAGTGACTTGAGGGGCGCCTGAGTGGCGCAGTCGGTTAAGCATCCGACTTCAGCCAGGTCACGATCTCGCGGTCCGGGAGTTCGAGCCCTGCGTCAGGCTCTGGGCTGATGGCTCAGAGCCTGGAGCCTGTTTCCGATTCTGTGTCTCCCTCTCTCTCTGCCCCTCCCTCGTTCATGCTCTGTCTCTCTCTGTCCCAAAAATAAATAAAAACGTTAAAAATAAATAAATAAATAAATAAAGTGACTTGAATTACTTAAAAATAAGAATACGTGTAGGAGGAATGTTACAGTATGTAAACTATCTCAATTTTAAAAAAGAATAAATCTAATTTGTAGAAATTTTAAATGTTACCAAAAAATTATGTTAAGCTTGGCTCTGGAGAGTCCATTCTGCTAGTCTTCTGGCAGTTTTCTGGGTTAGTCTGGAAAACCTCCAAAAGCATGAAGGTTAAAGAACACCCTACTAAAGAATGAATGGGTCAACCAGGCAATTAGAGAAGAAGTTTAAAAATATATGGAAATAAATGAAAATGAAAATACAACAATTCAAATGCTTTGGGATGCAACGAAGGCAGTCCTGAGAGGAAAATACATTGCAATCCAGGCCTATCTCAAGAAACAAGAAAAATCCCAAATACAAAATCTAACAGCACACCTAAAGGAAATAGAAGCAGAACAGCAAAGACACCCCAAACCCAGAAGAAGAGAAATAATAAATATCAGAGCAGAAATAAACAATACAGAATCTAAAAAAACTGTAGAGCAGATCAATGAAACCAAGAGTTGGTTTTTTGAAAACATAAACAAAATTGATAAACCTCTAGCCAGGCTTCTCAAAAAGAAAAGGGAGATGACCCAAATAGATAAAATCATGAATGAAAATGGAATTATTACAACCAATCCCTCAGAAATACAAGCAATGATCAGGGAATACTATGAAAAATTATATGCCAACCAAGTGGACAACCTGGAAGTAATGGACAAATTCCTAAGCACCCACACACCTCCAAAACTCAAACAGGAAGAAATAGAAAACTTGAACAGACCCATAACCAGTGAAGAAATTGAATCAGTTATCAAAAATCTCCCAACAAATAAGAGTCCAGGACCAGATGGCTTCCCTGGGGAATTCTACCAGACATTTAAAGCAGAGATAATACCTATCCTTCTCAAGCTGTTCCAAAAAACAGAAAGGGAAGGAAAACTTCCAGACTCATTCTATGAAGCCAGCATTACTTTGATTCCTAAACCAGACAGAGACCCAGCAAAAAAAGAGAACTACAGGCCAATATCCCTGATGAATATGGATGCAAAAATTCTCAATAAGATACTAGCAAATCGAATTCAACAGCATATAAAAAGAATTATTCACCATGATCAAGTGGGATTCATTCCTGGGCTGCAGGGCTGGTTCAACATTTGCAAATCAATCAATGTGATACATCACATTAAGAAAAAAAAAAGAAAAGAATCATATGATCCTGCCAATCGATGGAGAAAAAGCATTTGACAAAATTCAGCATCCTTTCTTAATAAAAACCCTTGAGAAAGTCAGGATAGAAGGAACATACTTAAACATCATAAAAGCCATTTACGAAAAGCCCACAGCTAATATCATCCTCAATGGGGAAAAACTGAGAGCTTTCCCCCTGAGATCAGGAACACGACAGCCATGTTCACTCTCACCGCTGTTATTTAACATAGTGTTAGAAGTGCTAGCATCAGCAATCAGACAACAAAAGGAAATCAAAGGCATCAAAATTGGCAAAGATGAAGTCAAGCTATCACTTTTTGCAGATAACATATTATACAAGGAAAACCCAACAGACTCCACCAAAAGTCTGCTAGAACTGATACATGAATTCCGCAAAGTCGCAGGATACAAAATTAATGTACAGAAATCAGCTGCATTCTTATACACTAATAATGAAGCAATAGAAAGACAAAATAAGCTGATCCCATTCACAATTGCACCAAAAGTCATAAAATACCTAGGAATAAACCTAACCAAAAATGTAAAAGACCTATATACTGAAAACTATGGAAAACTTATGAAGGAAATTGAAGAAGATATAAAGAAATGGAAAAACATTCCATGCTCATGGATTGGAAGAATAAATATTGTTAAAATGTCAATACTATCCAAAGCTATCTACACATTCAATGCAATCTCAATCAAAATTGCACCAGCATTCTTCTTGAAGCAAGAACAAGCAATCCTAAAATTTGTATGGCACCACAAAAGACCCCGAATAGCCAAAGTAATATTGAAGAAGAAGACCAAAGCGGGAGGCATCACAATCCCAGACTTTAGCCTCTACTACAAAGCTGTAATCATCAAGACAGCATGGCATTGGCACAAAAACAGACACACAGACCAACGGAATAGAATAGAAACCCCAGAACTGGACCCACAAAAGTATGGCCAACTCATCTTTGACAAAGCAGGAAAGAATATCCAATGGAAAAAAGACCGTCTCTTTAACAAATGGTGCTGGGAGAACTGGACAGCAACATGCAGAAGAATGAAGCTAGACCACTTTCTTACACCATTCACAAAAATAAACTCAAAATGGATAAAGGACCTGAATGTGAGAAAAGAAACCATCAAAACCCTAGAGGAGAAAGCAGGAAAAAACCTCTCTGACCTCAGCCGCAGCAATTTCCGACTTGCCACATCTCCAAAGGCAAGGGAATTTAAAGCAAAAATGAACTATTGGGTCCTCATGAAGATAAAAAGCTTCTGCACCGCAAAGGAAACAATCAACAAAACTAAAAGGCAACCGACGGAATGGGAGAAGATACTTGCAAATGACATATCAGACAAAAGGCTAGTATCCAAAATCTATAAGGAACTCACCAAACTCCACACCTGAAAAACAAATAATCCAGTGAAGAAATGGGCAGAAAACACAAATAGAAACTTCTCTAAAGAAGACATCCAGATGGCCAACAGGCACATGAAAAGATGCTCAACATCACTCCTCATCAGGGAAATACAAATCAAAACCACACTGAGATACCACCTCACGCCAGTCAGAGTGGCTAAAATGAACAAATTAGGAGACTATAGATGCTGGAGAGGACGTGGAGAAACAGCAACCCTCTTGCACTGTCGGTGGGAATGCAAACTGGTGCAGCCCCTCTGGAAAACAGTGTGGAGGTTCCTCAAAAAATTAAAAATAGATCTAACCTATGACCCAGCAATAGCACTGCTAGGAATTTACCCAAAGGATACAGGAGTACTGACGCATAGGGGCACTTGTACCCCAATGTTTATAGCAGCACTTTCAACAATAGCCAAATTATGGAAAGAGCCTAAATGTCCTTCAACTGATGAATGGATAAAGAAATTGTGGTTTATATACACAATGGAAGACTACTTGGCAGTGAGAAAGAATGAAATCTGGCCTTTTGTAGCAACATGGATGGAACTGGAGAGTGTGATGCTAAGTGAAATAAGTCATAAAGAGAAAGACAGATACCATATGTTTTCACTCTTATGTGGATCCTGAAACTTAACAGAAGATGTTGGGGGAGGGGAAGGAAAAAAAAAAAGAGAGAGGGAGAGAGCCAAACCATAAAAGACTCTTAAAAACTGAGAATAAACTGAGGGTTGATGAGGGGGGTGGGCCTGGGCCCGCGGGTGGGTAATGGGCACTGAGGAGGGCACCTATTGGGATGAGCACTGGGTGTTGTATGGAAACCAATTTGACAGTAAATTTCATATTAAAAAAAATTATGTTAAAAAGACCTATTACCTTCTTACCTGGGGATAATTACTATTAATATTTGTCTCTTTCTTTCAATCAATATCATTAAATTTATGAAAAATTATTAATCATATTACATGTATAACTCTATTGTTTTTTACTTGTGTCTTCATGAACATTTTTCATGTCTTCTAAAACATAATTTCTGGGGTACCTGGCTAGCTCAGTGGGTAGAACATGTGACTCACGATCTGGGGGGGTTGTGAGTTCAAGCCCACACTGGGTGCAGAAATGACTTAAAAATGAAATCTTTTTTTTAATGTTTTATTCATTTTTGAGAGAGAGAGAGAGAGAGAGAGAGAGCAAGTGAGCAAGCATGCACATGTGAGTGGGGAGGGGCAGAGAGAGAAGGAGATGGAGAATCCCAAGCAGGCTCCTGCTGTCAGAACAGAGCCCATCACAAGGCTCAAACCCACGGACTGTGAGATCATGACCTGAGCCAAAATCAAGAGTCAGATGCTTAACCAACTGAGCCACCCAGGTGCCCCTAAAAATAAAACCTTTTTTTTTTTTCTAAAAATAAAGTCTTAAAATAATAATTCCTAATGACTGAATCATTTGTATGTTACAGAAATTTATGTTGATATATTAGACTATTAAGTTCCAAATTTTTCTTCAGTTTCCATCGTTTCAATGATATGAGAGTTATCATCATGCATACATATCCTTAGTCATAAACAGTGTGTATATGTTGATGTTCTCTTATATCCTTAAAATAAATTCTTGGAAATGGGGTTTCTGGTCAAAAAAAAAGGAAAAAGAATATGTTCAACGTTTTTGAGATTTATCATCAAACTATGTTCTATACTATCTGTAAAAACCGACATTCTACTTAAGTGGAATGATTGATCAAAAAGAAATTATTTCAGATTGTTAAAATTAAAACACAACATCTTAAACTCCTTAAAACCTTAAATAATGTTGACCCCAGTTTGACATATACTGATAACCTCAGTACATCCAGACAGTAGCATATTTCACTTGGCAGAAGCAGTTACTGAATGGTAAATTAACACCTTTAGGAGATGACTCTATTATTTTTTTTTTTTAATTTTTTTTTTCAACGTTTTTATTTATTTTTGGGACAGAGAGAGACAAAGCATGAATGGGGGAGGGGCAGAGAGAGGGAGACACAGAATCGGAAACAGGCTCCAGGCTCTGAGCCATCAGCCCAGAGCCGGACGCGGGGCTCGAACTCACGGACCGCGAGATCGTGACCTGGCTGAAGTCGGACGCTTAACCGACTGCGCCACCCAGACGCCCCAGGAGATGACTCTATTAAAATAAAGTGAGGAAATGATAAGTCTATTTTACTGTCTAAAGAGCATATATAATTTATATACACACTTATAGCTTATAAAGACATCTACTCTTTAAAAACTGGGAGGGGTGCCTGGGTGGCTCAGTTGGTTAAGCATCTGACTTCAGCTCAGGTCATGATCTCAAGGTTCACGAGTTTGAGCCCCGCATTGGGCTCTGTGCTGACAGCTCAGAGCCTGGAACCTGCTTTGGATTCTGTGTCTCCCTCTCTCTCTGCCCCTCCCCTGCTCGTACTCTGTCTGTCTCAAAAATAAATAAACATTAAAAAAAAATGGGAAACTAAAACCCTAATTATAGTTATGATGTTTTATATAACTGAACACAAGTGATTGAATAAATAAAAATGTCTGCTTTAGAAAAAGAATCACTATTCCCAAGGTATAAACAAATAACACTTTAATAAAAAGTTAGTTTTTTGTTAACTAATCTGTCACACAAATGTAATTTAACAAGAGATGTAGTCAATACCGGATATTCTGGCCAAAAATCTCTGAGAATGTGTTCTATGTGAATTTCCAGTTCGCCGATTACTCCCAGGTTCGTTAATATTCACTACTTCTGAAAAATGTAAATTGACAAGGTGGGGTTCTACTTACTACTCTGAACTGTTCTAATTTTTGGTTGCCTTTGATAAAAAAAGGGCATTCTTTGTCGCCTGTTCGGTGACCATACCGCTTACAACGCCAGCCTAAAAACAAAGAAAAAAGGAAATATTTCTGTAAGTAACAGTTTCATTTAATGAAGATGAAGAATCAGTACATCATATTAAAGTTTTTCTTCATTAAACTCCAATTCTAAAAGCAAATGCAATGACTGGATGAACCATGTACAATCCTAGAAAATAAAGGGAAACGGATTACTTCCCAAGCATCCTTTAATCGTGTAGCTTTGGGAGTAAATATTACCTCACCAGATAAGTATTAAGCAATCCAGTGTAAAAGTATTGTGAAGAGTGAATTTTTTTTTGTCTGTAGCTTACTGTATTTTTCAAAGAGAAGGTCTTTTCTATTCATCAAGTGACTCTGATCCTCATTTACAATTTCAGACACTAGAGCAAATAGCTTCTTTCTCTGATTGAATCAAAAACTGCACAATCCCTCCCCTTTAATTAAACCAAATCACAAATTATCTTAAAATGTTAATTTCATTAGCACTCTAATATGGCTTCACCTGCTGAACAGGGAAATTGTCCTTTGTAAAAAGTATATTATTTAGAAGCAGACAGCTGTGATGAGGAATGGGGAAGAAACACATTAAGAAAATACATACACATGTTCCAGGACAACAGAGGGAAGTACACAACTTCGTGGAATTTTAGTGACTATGGACATGGCATCAGGCATTGAGATATAGGGAAAATGAAGTGGTGAACAAAGCAGGAATGGGTGAGATGCTTATTATTTCTCTCACCTGGTCCTCTTAGAACCATCTAGATTTAAGGTAAATCAGGAAGTCATATGAGAACAGTGAGTTAAATGTTTGGACATTAAGCAACTCCAACCAAGAAAGTCAGGAAGCAGGTAAAGGGATTACAGCTAAGATCAGCCAGGTTTGCTTCATGCTGACAGCTACTAAAAGCGTGAAGTGAATGAGAAGGGAAGTTTTTCCTTTTTAACTTTGAGGGCTGGAGGCAGGAAACCATTGAAAAAAAGTGAAGTTTGGAAATTGTTTATTGATTGCCTCCGAGCTGTCCCTGTCTTTCATTAACTCTCCTAATTAATTTAAAATTCAGGAAAGAAGGACTATACTCCTTCAAACCAAAGTCTTTTTTTTGTGCTCAAAATTGTCGTATCATTAAAGGAAAGGTGATTCTTGCTATTCAAAATGTGGTCATGGACAAGCAAAATCAGCAACACATGGGAGATTGTTAGAAATGTATACTGTTAGGTCCACCCCAGAAATACTGACACATATTAGAATTTTAAAGGATTAACTGGTGATTTATAGACATGTTAAAGTTTGAAAACCACTGTTCTAGATAACACTACAATCAACAAAATCAATGAAAATATGTACATGTACATGTGTCTTTCATCCTGTCTGGGAGGAGTCCAAATTTTGTGGGGCCTGAGCTTAAATTATGGGTTTGTGGAAGGGGGCTCTTTAGAAAGTAAAATACCTTGCCTTGGCAAATTTTGCAAAATCATATGACCGTTATCAACACATCACTGGAACTTCTGCAGGTCCTTGAAAATCACAAGTGAGTAAAACTGGCTCTGGTCCCAACTCTGACACTTATTTTCCAAGTCAATGTACATAGCCATAAAATGGTAATTGAAATGTAAGTAACTACCTCATAAAAGAGAGCAGTGGTTTTCAAACTTAAAAAAAAAAAAAAAAAGCTGTAGACTTCTGGGTAAAGATGACAGACTAAATACATTTACCTGTTTTCACTCCCTTCCTGACAAGTCATAAAAATGAAAATGAAGAGAATTCTTTCCAAGGGGAATAAGCCAAGAAGCACTTCAAGAATGGCCAAGTGACAGCCTCCATAAAAGCACTGAAAATAGTTGCAAATTTGCCCACATCAATTTACTTGAAACCCTGTAAATTAATCAAAGGTTTGCCACAATCTGAGGACCATTAATTCAAGAAAAGCTAGTGAAGTTTGGTAAGAACAGAAGGGTTTCAGGCATTTTAACCAGGCCTACTCCCAACCCTCTCTCCTGATTGCCAGAATAATCTTGAAAACTAGCAGCCTTGCAACCATGACAACTATGAAAAGCAGCAATCCTGCACTCTCAATGGGGTAAGGCCAGGTTTTGAGTCTCTCAAAAATCCCTAACCCCAAAGCACAGAGCCACACTGGCAGGGTGTTATTACTATTTAACCAGTCATGTAGTTTACTCTACAGTAAAAGCCCAATCCCTTAGGATATTTGTTGAAAACAATTACCTGCAATTGTTTAATATCACAGCTCCCAACAGCTGTGATATGGATAAATAAGAGCCGAGCTAAAAATTTTAATGATCCAGGTAATGAGATGTCCACAGAGGGCTTTTAAAAATTCTGACACAATCCTGGGAAGCTAGAAGGCTGTGCACATGTGCCAACATTTATTTTGGTTTTTTTTTCTTTTTAAGTTTTTTAAATGTTTCATTTATTCTTGAGAGAGAGAGAGAGAGAGACAGTGCATGAATGGGGGAGGGGCAGAGAGCGAAAGAGACACAGAATCGTAAGCAGGCTCCACGCTTTGAGCTGTCAGCACAGAGCCTGATGCAGGGCTTGAATGCACAAACCGGGAGATCATGACCTGAGCCAAACTTGGATGCTTAGCTGACTGAACCACCCAGGTGCCCGTTTTTTTGATAGTAGCCATCCTAACAGGTATGAGGTTGTATTTCACTAATTACTGATGCTGAGAATCTTTTCATGGGCTTACTGGATACCTGTATATCTTCTTTGGAGAAATGTCTATTCAAGTCCTTTGCCAAACTTTAATCAGGTTGTTTCTTTGTTGTTTTTAGGAGTTCTCTATATATTATAGATATAATCCCTTATTAGATATATGATTTACAAATATTTTCTCCCATTCTGTTAGTTGGCTTTTTACTCTTTTGTTAATGTCTTTTATTCACAAAATTTTGTGGTTTTCATGAAGTCAAATTTGTCTGTTTTTTCTTTTGTTGGCTGTACCTTTGGTGTTTCATCCAAAAAATCATTACCAAATCCAATTTTGTGCAGCTTTGCCCTGTTTTCTTCTAAGAGATTTTATAGTTTTAGGTATTATATTTAAGTCTTTGATCCACTTAGAGTTAAATTTTATGTATGATATTAGATAAGGACCCAACTTCATTCTTTTGCAAGAGGATGTCAAGTTTTTTTTAAAAGACTGCTCTTTCCCCATTTAATGGTCTTGGCTCCACCAAAACAAGAAATTCAAACAACAAAGATGACTCAACATATAGGAAAACAGGAAATTCAAGACAAGAAAGAAGCTAAGGGAAACTGCAGAATGAGTGTCTTAGTTCCGGCTCCCATAATATAGAGTGGGTCACTTACACAATAGGAATTTGTTTTCTCATAGGCTAGGGACTGGAGATCTAAAATCTGGGTGCCAAAAGAGTTGGTTTCTGATGATTACTGTCCTTCTGGCTTGCAGACAGCTGTATCCTCTCATGGTGTGTCCTTACACAGTAGAAAGAGAGCAAGCTGTCTGGTCTCTTCTTAAAAGGAACTCATCAGGGGTGCCTGGGTGGCTCAATCAGTTAAGCCTCCGACTTCAACTCAGGTCGTGATCTTGTGGTTTGCGGGTTTGAGCCCCGCGTCGGGCTCTGTGCTGACAGCTCAGAGCCTGGAGCCTGCATTGGATTCTGTGTCTCCCTCTCTCTCTGCCCCTCCCCCCTCACGCTGTGTCCCTCTCTCCTTCAAAGATAAATAAACATAAAAAAAAAAAAAAGGAACTAATCATACCATCAGAGGCACCCTCAATACTTTATCCAATCCTAATTACCACCCAAAGGTCCTATCTCCAAATACCATCCTATTGGGGATTAGGGCTTCAACATAAGAATTTATGGAGGGACACAAACATTCAATTCATAACACAAAGTGAGGCGTGCCTAAGTGCCTCAGTTGGTTAAGTGTATGACTCTTGATTTCAGCTCAGGTCATGATCTCGTGGTCCTAAGATTGAGCCCTTGTCAGCTTCCATACTGGGCGTGGACCCTGCTTAAGATTCTCTCTCTCCCTCTCCCCTGTTCGCTCTCTCTCAAACAAACAACACAAAGTGAAGGGAGATTCCTGGATGATAAGCATGGGAGCAACCATTTTCAGAAGAATGTAATTAATACAATGTCTCAGGCATTTAGAGGTCTTAAGATTCAATCTTTAGAACAATTTGAGACTGAGTAAAAAGAAATCAGTACGTGGAAACCAAAAACAATAATAATAAAACACATGCACATAACACACACCAAAAACAAGATAACTGTTAATCTGGGGCGGGAGGGAGAGGGAATTAATTCAGGATGCATAAAGGAAAAGTAATCACTTTACTACATGACTCAGCTCTGAACGTAATTATAATAAAGTAAGTACCCAGGATTATCTAACCAAAATTATGAAAAAACTATTTTGGGGAAGATGTGATATAGTAAGGGTACATATGTGTAGTAAGAGCTAAATTCTCATCTTCCATTGTATGATGTTAACAGATACCACCTAAACCTGAAAAATCAATGCAATGTAAATGTGATCTTAGGCACATGAAGATAAATATCAAAATAACCAACTAAAAGAGCAAAAAGTGGGTATGGAGAAAAAGAGACTGGGAACTATTTTAATTATGTGCATGAAGAATCTTTGTACAAACAAATGTCTTTAAACGGCAGCAGTACCCTTTCTTCAAATACCAAATACCACTTAAGCTGGATGAAGGTGTTGCGGCTCTGGTGGGGTGGGGGCGTGCACACACAGCACTCCTGCTCTGGACACCCACCTCAGGTCACATGGATGAAACCTTAACACCACTGATGGGGTGGGGGGAGGTGCAAAGGACTGAGGCAAGACACAAAGGGATCTGCCCCCTCCAATGTATCCCAATGTACCTCCTTGTCCCTCCTGGCATTTCTACAACAGAGTATCCTTTCTGTTACTTGAATATTACCAAGGAGTGTACTCCAAAGGCAGCTACGGTCCTGTGGGCAACCACTGCTCTTGGGAGTCAGAAGCCCTGGAGTCAAAGCCATGCTCTGCCTCTTGGACACTCACTAACATACGCAGCTCGGCTTCCTTAACTATGAAACAGACATCACGCCTTGGCTTAACAGGTCTCAGTGAGGGAAAAAAAAAGAGGTAAACACGCTCTGTGAGTCGTAATATATAACTTGTGTGTACTAAGGAGTGTTACCTGAAACTCTCCCATACTCACACTGCATAACTTTGACTTCTTTCCCGAGTGGCATCCAAAGTCCTTTAGTTGGTGCGTGAGCCAGAAATTCCCTGGCATGTTCGTTGCCTGGTACATCTGGTATACAGTCTTCCGGCTTAGTCTCATCTTCCTAAAAAAGGAAACAACATGTACACGACGTGGCAAAAGAGCACTGGAATTCTCTCCTACCTGCTTCAGAACACAGCACTGCCTGGCTTTCACATGGGCTGGACATGCCCACGTCATCCTGTTACCCTCTCCAGTACTAGAAAGACAAATTATACCTGACACAAAAACCAGAAATAAATATACCAGAAGGACTATGTCATGAAAACAAAGTAGTTGTTCTTAGAGAAAGGTTACTAGTAAAGCAGAAATCTGCCCTTCATATAGGAATGATCTGTGAGCTCCAAATTCTAACGTAAATCAGATGTAAAGATCAAAAAAAGGTTCCATGACCACAAAATCTTAGTGGAATGAGGCAAGGTGTAACAATTAAAGTAGGGGCACCTGGCTGGCTCAGGAGATGGAACATGCAACTCTTGATCTCGGGGTTGAGGTTTGAGCCCCACGTTGAGTGTAGAGATTACTTAAAAACAAAATTTAAGGGGCATCTAGGTGGCTCAGTCACTTAAGCATCCGACTTCAGTTCAGGTCATGATCTCACGGTTTGTGAGTTCGAGCCCTGTTTCAGCTCTCTGCTGTCAGCATGGGGCCTGCCTCGGATCCTCCGTCTCCCCTCTCTCTGCCCCCCACCGCCTCTCAAAAATAAATAAATGTTAAAAAGAAAAAAATTAAATTAAAAAAATATAAATTTGCCTGGCTGTTTCACTTGCTTAAGCATGTGACTCTTTGTTTTGGCTCAGGTCATGATCTAATGGTTTGTGGGTTCAAGCCCTGCATCGGGATCTGGGCTGACAGCGTGGAGCCTGCTTCGGATCCTCTCTCTCCTTGTCCCTCCCCTGTTCTTGTGTGCATGCTTTCTCTTGCTCTCTCTGAAAATAAATAAACTTAACATATGTATATATATGTATATGTGTATATACATATATATTTCAAGAATTAAAACAGGATTATCTAGAATAAAAATGTTATGTTAAAATAGCTTATTATAACTTGAAGACCATTGTCATGTTTTCTAGTCACACACATGCTATCTATATCTGTGAGTTGCATATTCACCACTGAATATATGCATTTACAATTAAAGAGGGTTTTTTTTTCAGTTTCCATGAATATTTAATCTATAACAGAAGAACATTTTCTAAAACTCGTTTAATTTAAAATTTTTTAATATATATTTTTTATTTTAGGTAGGCCCCACCCCTAACGTGGGGCTTCAACTCATGACCCTGAGATCAAGAGTCTCATGCTCTACTGACCGAGCCAGCCAGGTGCCCCTAAAAATCTTTTATTTGAAAGTGAGCATGCATAAGGTTGCTCTGGCCTCTAAAGAGCCCTGTAAGTCTCACTCTCACAGACATTGGACAACATGGCCAGGTTGGCAGGAAGTGGTAGGGGGTGTCCTGCACCAGGGGCTGGACTAGAGGAGCTTCCAGTCTCCACACAGACTACTGTTCTCTGAGCTGACGCTCAGGAAACCAGCAGTGAGTGGGTCAGAGATGGAGCAGAGCGGTGAGAAGATGCAGCCACAGCAGGAGACAGAGAAGGGGACCGATCGCTGAGGAACATGTGGGCCTGCCACCGTTTCTTAGGGAACAGTCACACGGTTGATTACATTTCTACAAAGACACAGGCTGGAGACACAAAGCCCAAAGTGTATGGACTGACTGGCATCTGCAGGGAGGAGCAGGGTTATGAAAAAAGATGTTCCAAACCTTATGTAACAGTTTTCATAACAAGTTACTGAGTCTGAGCACTGAGTCAAATATGTCTGAGAGAATAACCAAAGGTACAAACTTCACACTGACCTTGATAAGCCCAGGAGGAGGTTTTTCATAACTAGAAAGGAAAAGAAAAACTGCCATCAATCATGTTAACAGGAACACAATACGTTTTAATGAGCAAAAAGCAACTAGAGGTCAAAATGAAAAGAATATCTTTAGTAAAACCTTAAAACTGCATTAGATCTAAAGCAGTTAGTAAAATATGCCCAGCAGTCAGAGATCTTATAAGTAAACTGATGCTACACCACATCCTGCAGAGATCTAGAAAATTCACTGAAATGATAACTAACTTGGTGTTTGAGCACAATGAATTTATCTTCGAAGAAGAGAGCAAGAGATTGCAGGTGAACTGTGTGGGAAGACCCATGAGCTAATCATGCTTCCAGACTGTCACGGCTGTCAGGTTATTTACCTACCATAACTTCCACTTACTCAGCACGGAGGCTCATGTGGGGAAGGCTGAGGAATCTGTTCTAACCTGGATGGAGGCAGTGCAGGGGGGCAGGAACAAAACTGGAGGGAAGGGCCTGTTGCAGGGGATGGAGGCGATGGTGATCTGTCCTAGAGGCTTCCTTTCCCATATCCCTGCAGCTCTCAGTTCAAATCCTGCCCACTCACCCTGCCCGCAGAGTGAGCCATCCATTCCTCACTTCTGACAGCCCGCTGTGCCCATACTGACCTCACTGGACTCGGGGTGTAGGACCCCTGCATGGTGCCTGGACGACATTCTTTACTGAATGATGCTAGAGCAAGCAGATGATGTGTGGGAATGTACGTTCCCTTGGAGCTCACAGACTCCCAAGGGTCCTAAGGGTACATACGCATCATGTCTATGCTCCCAATTCATTTTCACTTCCTATCACTCTGCCGAAGTGCCCCAGAAGGGTTCTGGATTCCAAATCTGGAAAATCAACACCAAATGCTCATGTTCATTTTTAAGTACTGACACACTACTAGCTATAACACACACTGCGTGGGTATTTATTTGGCTTTTAACTGTGAATGTTGATAGGACCAAAAGCAAAAATAAGAATGAAAAAAAGAAACATTATAACCAAATATCCTGGGTCTATTCAACGCCTGCAAAGCACATTTTGCTGAAGATATCTGGCCATAGCAGCTAGCTAGTTTAAAACCGTGAAGACTCCAGAAAGTTGTAAATGTGAATGCTTTAACATTGCTGCACCCAGATGGTGAAGCAAGGGTGACTAATTAAATTTTCTATAATGAATATGTATTACTTTTATCAACCGATAAACACTGATAAATCTTAGAAGAGTGAATTAGATACTGATATGGAACAATTTCCATTATAGTTTTAGTAAAAAAAAAAAAAGGTAGGGGGAGGGCAGAGGGAACAAAACGGTGTATTTGGTGAGCTTCTATTTGTGTGTATGGGAAAAAGGACACTATATGTGGCCATGTGCATGCGATGTGCCTGTGCACACATGCACACACACCAAGTTACCTCTACAAGGATATCTAAGAAATTGGTTGCATGCCTGCCTGTAACCAGGGAAAGGAACTAAGGTTCATTAATGGCAGAGACCTGTGTTTCACTGTATTCACACCTACATGTACCAACCTACAAAATGCTTTTTAACTGCAAAAGAAAAGTGGTATCAATGGTATCTACAGCAATGTTGGTATTAGCCCAGGTTAACGTATCTCTGAGAGAAAAACCAAAGATAAGTTGGGACTAAGAAAGAAAAATGGTGCCAAAATTATGCTATTAGGAGTTCATATCAGCTATAGAGTTATATAGGCTGCATTTCTCTTTTAACAATGCTGTTTCTGTAATTGTTTCAGGAACATAATCCCCACCCTAGCCCTAGCCAACTTGATAGTTTCCTCCCACAAAAAGGGAGCAGGTACAATAGGCAAAACTAAATTTGATATTCAGGTAATATTAAGTGTTCAACATAAAAACTTGCTCCCTGTCGAAGTAACCAATTAATTATTGTCCCAGGCATGTTGCTAGGTACTAGAAAGGGAGAACTAAGAGCATAACGATATATCTAGTTACATCCAAAAAAACACATAAAATGAAAAGTACTCGCATAAGTATCAATAGCTCTTTATAACTGCCCTGATAAAAGGAGATGGTCTATCTTTTTGGAGTATAAGACCCCAAATTCTAGTAGGAGTATTTTTCAGTTCCAAATCAGCTGAATGAGAATCCTGTAGAAGTGAAGCAAGGCAGAGCAGAAACTTCACGAGCTTTGGAGGTAAAAACCTTTGAATTATGATTCATTCTCACTGTGTACTTGGGGCATGTTACTTAACCCCCGGAGCCTCAACTTCCACACGGGTGAACATATCACACCACACACTTCACAATGCTGGCTTTTGTCCCTTCTGTTGAAGACAAGTTCATGCTCTCAAGAGCTTCATGAAGCACCTCAAGACTGGAGGGAGCATTAGCATCACAGAGGCCGAGATCTGGACCAGCAGAGGTAGAAGAAAACAACGTGCCAGGTGGTAAATGACAAATGCCAGAAGACTATTCTAGAGCTTTTCTGAGCAGACAGAGGAGGATCTGCCCCATGAAGATTACATAGTAAACAACTAGGCATGAATAGACTTAGCTTTTTAGGTGTGCTACAGTTATTTTCCAAAGCAAATGCTTAAAATATTTTCAAACACAAAGTGGTGGCATAACCTAACAAGAACAATGTAAATCTGCACAAACTGGGGAAATGATACAGTTCATCTGCAGTCACTCATTAGAAATATTGATGCAAAGAGACCAGGGGTGCCTGGGTGGCTCAGTGGTTGAGCGTCCAACTTTGGCTCAGGTCATGATCTCGCAGTCCCTGAGTTCGAGCCCCGCGTCTGGCTCTGTGCTGGCCGCTCAGAGCCTGGAGCCTGTTTCCGATTCTGTGTCTCCCTCTCTCTCTGACCCTTCCCCGTTCATGCTCTGTCTCTCTCTGTCTCAAAAATAAATAAACGTTAAAAAAAAATTAAAAAAAAAAAAAGAGACCAAAGGGAGTTTGGTGGTACAGTCTATGAACCCAATAATCCAGTAACACCTCCTTTGAGCCACAAGAGTTGTACAAAAACAACAGATGGCCAAACGCAAATCCAAATTCCTGAAAAATATGTAATTGTTATTGCCAAGATGAAAAGGAGTGTGATGGAACTACACATTGTGAAATCTATTATTAGCAATGACATTCCCTAAAAAAAGTCAATTTACAACTGTTTTCACAAATTTAAAGGAAGGTAGTTGATGGCTGAAGGGTCCCATTGAAAAGAGCAGGCCAGCCTCCAACAACGCAATGCATTTTGCGTCAAAGGATTAATTACAAAGGATTTGACTCCTTTGAAGACTTTTCTTTACATGATCATCTTAGTACAGGTAACAGAAGTGCCTGAAAGAAAAACGTGTCATTTATTGAATAACCCAGGGAACAGCAAACTTACGTTTGCCTTCTGGAGCTCATTACAGAGTGACAATCACAGAAAAGCACCGAAAGGCCATAAATGCACCTCCCGCCTGATGTTTCCATCTCCTCTACAACCTGCCCTTCTCCCACAGCCATGGGCACTCTCCTCGAACCCGCCGGAGCTGGCCTTGCACGGGGCCTCTTGAAGTCAGGCCACGCTGACCAGCAGGAACGGGAGACCCCGGTCCTCATTCTTTCTGCTCAGCTGGAACCGGCCTCTTCGTAGCCCCCACCCTTCATGCTGCTCAAAATCCTCAGGACTAAAGAGAACAAGTCTCCACGCTCTTCCACCTGACAGCCACCTTCGGAATCTTCAGGGACAGTCCGTCACCCCATTCTCCGGCCCTCCCCTCCGGGCCGCACGAACGGTACAGGACGGCTGGTTCTCGTCCCTCCTTCGCAGCAGATGAAGAGAATGCGGATTTGACCCGGTCCACCGGGGGCCCTCTGAACCGACACCGTGAAAGGGCACGACCGCAGCGCTCACTGCACTTGGCCGCGCGTTCAGTCCCCAAATCGCGCCCGAGCGCTTACTAAGTGCCGCCGGATCCGCCGCACCCGCCCCGCCGAGCCCCGGCCGCACGCCGACCTCGCGCGGGGGACTAGAGCCCGCGCTTCCCCTGCCGGTCCCGGCCGCTCGGCGCGCGGGGGGAACGGCCCTTCCCTCCCCGCGGAGGCGCCACTGGAAGTCGGGTGGCCGCGCCGCGCGGGGCCGGAACTGGCGGTCGGCTTGGCCGGGGTCCCGCTGCCCGCGCCCGGGTCCCCCGGGGACCCAGCCTCACGCGCCCCCGCGGCGCCGGGCCACCCCGACCGCACGCCTCGCGGAGGAGCGCGGGCGGCGCGGACTCACAAGGACTCCAGGTGCTTGAGCTGCTGCAGCTGCTGCGCGTCGTGCCGCCGCCGCTTCTGCTCTCGGCGCCGCTGCAGCTCCTGCTCGGCCGACTCCCGCGGCCGCCGCGCGCCTCCGGTTCGCGCGTCGTCACGCCCCGGCCGGGAAGACATCGCGGCCCGCGCGCCTGAGGCGACCCGCGACGCGGCTGAAGCGCCTGAGGCTGCCGAGGCAGCGAAGACGGCACTTCCTCCGCGCCGCGCCGGGGCCGACACCGCAGCGCCCCCTCCCGCCGTCCGCTCGGGCAGCGCCCTCCGTCTCCGCCGAGGCCTCCCGGTCCCCGCCTCCCGCCAGGCCCGCCGGCCACCTCCCCGGGCCGCGGCCCCAAGTCGGCGCTCGGAGCTCCGTGAGCCCGCTGCCTGGCCGGCCGGTGCCGGAGATCGGCGCGCGACCCCTGGCGGTGGCGGCCAGGCGGGCGGAGGAGGCCTGCGGGGCAGCCGGGAAGCCCCGCCCCTGGAACGCTGGGAACGGGTGCGAAGGGGTTTTGTAGTCCCGGGTGGGATTAGACTATGAGCGCTGCTGCTACGTGGTGCTGGGATTCAAACAGCTTTGAAGAAAGCAAGACTCTCCATAGAAATTCTCTAATTTTCCGGAGCATGGTTAAAACATAGCGTACAGTGTATTTAGACGTTTGGGTGCTGGGCGAAAAGCTGTATATACTGAGCGCTTTTTATGTGTTGGTCATTGAGCTAAGCCCTTAAAAATGGGTGATTTAATCTTTAAAAAGCAATTGCTGTTATTACCCTTGTAGATAGGAAGGAGCCCAGGGAGTTAAATAACATGCACAGGCAATAAGTCGTGGAGCCAGGATGCAAAGTGTTAAGTGCTTAACTAGGTTACATTTTGAAAATGTGTCTGATACGTGAAGTTATGATAATTGTTTTAGCTTTAACATAATGGAAGAAACCACAACGGAAGTAAAAGTAACAGCATAGGGGATATATCCCTCAAATGTGGTGTTCAATATAGTTAATACTGAAAATATATGAAGAGTGCCTTCATATTTATTAGAGAAAATCCAAATAAACAAAGGCTATGAACACAAACGCATGTTACACTGATTTGTCCATTTGTCCCATAACTTGAAAATCAGGTTTCCCTTGAGAGGGAAAACTGGTACATATACCAGTCCAGTTGTTGATGTAAGCTACCTGGCCCAATAAGTACCCTGTAAATACCTTGCAAGACATCTTCATCTAGTCAAGAATATTGTCTAAGGAAGAGATGTGACTGAGAAACAAAGTGTAACTTAATCGTGTTACAGAAGGAAGATGGTCTCTAGAACCTAGAAAAAGAGAACCAAGGTAAAATAATCAGGTAGTGTTTATCCAGTATTGTCCACTAAAGACACAAATTATATAAACACACATGAATGTTCTGATCACTGGAGAAATACCCACCATGTGGAATAAGGCATGAAATTGACCAAACGTGGCCTCATCTCTTTTTTTAGTTGAAGTGTAGTCGACATACAATATTATATTAGTTTCAGGAGTACAACATATTGACTCAACATTTATGTACATTAAGAAATGTTTAGGGGCACCTGGGTGGCTCAGTCGGTTGAGCGTCTGACCTTGGCTCAGGTCATGATCTCACAGTCGGTGAGTTCAAGCCCCTCATCCGGCTCTGGGCTGACAGCCTGCTTCAGATTCTGTGTGTGTCTCTCTCTCCCTCCCCAGCTCATGCTCTGTCTCTCTCTCTCTGTCAAAAATAAATAAACACTAAAAAATTTTTTAAAAATGTGTATCTTGATACTTGTTGTTACCATCTGTCACCATGCAAAGTTATGGCAATATTATTGACAATATTCCGTGTGCTGCACTTTTCATCCCTGTGACTTATAGCTGGAAGTTTGTGCCTTTTAATCCCCTTCACCTATCTCACCCATCCCCCCCATCACTCCCCTCAAGCAACCGCCAATCTGTTCCCTATTACACTGTTTCTGTTTGTTAGGTTTTTGTGTTCTAGATTCCACATGTTCGAGAAATCATGGTATTGTCTTTTTCTCTCTCACTTATTTCACTTAGCATAATACCTCTAAGTCCATCCATGTTGTCGAAAATGGCAAGATTTCATTCCTTTTTATGGCTGAGTGATTTCACTGTATGTATGTGACACATCTTTATCCATTCATCTATGGATAGAGACAGGTTGTTTCCATATCTTGGTTGTTGTAAATAATGCTGCAAAAGTTGGCCCTATCTTAGGGAAATACCTTTCAAGACTAGCTAAGCTCCTCTGCTCTGATTCCATTCCCACCCAACAACATCCTGACAGTGTATTATACCAGATCCTAATATGAGGAGAAAGGTGTTTTTGTCAGATCTGAGTACTGGGGTGAGTAGAAAGGTAGTTCTCCTACTGTAGATCAATAACTTGACATTGCAATTTGTAATTTAATATCTTATGACTATAGTTATTGTGGCAAATGGTATTATTCAAGTTACCTACAATAATCTCTCCCATGTCACTTGTTTTCTACAAATGACCTTGATACTCTTCCCATGGAGAGGTGGGGTCTATGCCCCTTCCCTTGAATCTAGACCAACCTTAGTGATTTGATTGTAACCAGTAGAAAGTAGTGGAAGTGATGCCTCATCATTGTAAAGATTAGGTCAGAAAAGATCCGATTGTTTCCACTTGGTTCTCGTTGAATATGTGCTCCTAAAGCCTTAAGAAATGTAAGCTGTTCAACTGCCCTGAAGCCACCATACTGTGCTGAAGCCCAAGTTAACTCAAGAGGAGAGATCACATGAAGTGATCTTGAGACTCAATAAACAAAGGAATGCCAGGCCACACCCCAGTGGCCTAACCACCCCAAAACCCTAGTCAGATGAGTCCATGGTACATAGCAGAGTAAATCTAAGCGTCTCACACCAACAAAGCTGAAGCAGAATTGTTCCTCCCCTCCTCAAGAAGCCTTGTTGATGGCCAAGCTATGCTCCTAAATTAAAAAAAAAAAAAAAAAAAAAAAAAAAAAAAAAAAAAAAAAGGAAGAAGAAGGAAGAAGGAAAAGATAAAAATAAAAGACATCAAATGTTCTCCAACCATAACCGGTGATCTTATAGCAATCCAGCAAATAATCTGAATACCTTGGGATATACTTCTAGGCAGAAACCAATTGGGTTGGGTTTCTGTCGCTTGCAATCGAAGGAATCACGACTGATTCAAATATTTGCTTAACCCAATGATTTGATCTCTCCCTGTAAGGTGGTACTAGGGGAGATGGATACAAGAAGATCCAGGGGTTGATAGTGCCACTTTAGCAAGTATCAATCAAGACTCTTTGGAAAATACCAACAGATCAAAATCCAAATCAAACTGTTTCAGGGGGAAAAAAATGAAGGAATTTATTGAATCATATATGTCAAATGTCATGGGGTTGAACTTTAGGAATGGCTGCATGTAAGGGCTGAAATATTATCATTAACAGCTTCTCTCTCTTCACTTTTCTTTTGTATTGCTTCAATTTCATGTTGTTTCTCTCACTGTGGGGGCAAAGATGGCCACTAACTTAGCAGCCCCAGATGAAAGAAACTTTCTCAGTTCCAATAAGACGTCCGTGTATTATACTCATTGGCTTGGTAAGGATTATGTAGCTGTCATGGAAACGGTCACTGTGATCAAGGAGATGTAGTACTCTGGCCAAACCAGTATCATACACCCACCTTAATTCACAGGGGCAGGATTAACAGACTGGGAAGGAGAGTTCCTCAAAGTGAAATCAAGGTTCTGTTAACAAGGGAGAGAGAGACAGAGAGAGAGAGAGAGACGGAGTGGAAAGGAATTCTGGACAGGGAAAAATAGCAGATGTACAGTTCGGTAATCTGACAGCCTCTCCCAATACCACCTCCTAGTCTGCATTCTAGGCATCTCTGTTTGATGATTAACATGTTAGAACTTATAAAGCAGTGAAAATCTTTTGATCCTTCCCTCTATGCGAGTCTGGGTTCTTTGTGTATTTTGACACCAGACAGAATTTTCCTGGTCATTAACCCAGTGTGATATGCAGGGTGTTGCAGTCACTTCACAAAGGCCTGATGGACCCCCATCCACCCAAAACTGGTTCACTGTCAAGACTGATGATGCCACAAATGCATCAAGAAAGTAGGAAGAAATTTGTTATTCACATATTGATACTTTCTGGAAGAGCAGTTCAGACACCTAAGCTAGTCCAAAAATGACTTCAGCAAAAGTAAGGTGACTGGCCATGGGTTTTATTGTGTTTAGGGGGTGAAACTGGGTGAGTGTTCAACCCCACACACAGCCCAAGACTGTGTAATTTGAACTCCCCACCCCCACCCTGGTGCCACTTGGACTTTCCTAACAGCTCACCCACATGTGGGCCAGAAGCGGAAAGTGGAGATGAGGCTTGAAAATTGTCAGTGGTCAGCATCAAAACTGGAGTCAGATGCTTTATTACACAGCACCACCTGTCAGACTCAGTCCTGTTTCCTCGTTGTGATGATAGACTCAACGTAGTAGCATCTCATTCATTAACCAGGGAAACAAACAGGAATCCTTTCCCTATTGCTTATAATTCTAAAACATTATTCTTACCTTTCCCCCATTATTTGCGCCTGTAGAATCTGGAGGGGTGTGCAGGTACAGTTTCTTTCCAGAAAGAGAGTAAAGTGATTATTGCCCAAACATGAATATGTAGGGAGTCAGCCTTCACTTTGTACTAAAGCACTTAACCCAGGTGAGAGATGCTTTATTTGCATTCCCTCCCTGCTGTGCCCCCTGCCTCAGTTTTTTGTAACCACTACTCCATCCTAAGATACCATATTCATTCTCAAGGCCAGCCAAAGGGCCTCAGTGTGGGCCCAATTGTGGAGGGGTGGCTGCTGACTCTGTTTTACTGGTTATGTGTTAAGGCTTCCAGACTAGAACGATGTAAAAAGACTGGACTTTCTCCTGCTTATATCAATCACCTTTCGAAGCATAGCTTTGATGCCATTATTTTGCTCACAAGGTGTATTATTTTACCTACCTATTTTTTGCCAGAAGAATCTAGATGAGTTTATTGTCATTCAAATAATTCATAGAAAAAGGAATGTAGAGATAGGTTCAGGGTAGTATGAAAAGAACCTGCAGGTTTGGAGATGTTGCTCTATTTATATCAGAGAGGAGGCTCTCCCTGACATTAGGCACAGCTGCTGCCTTGTCAGATGCCCCTTTGCAG